GAATATGTAAAGCAAATTCGACAAGAAGGAAAGTGTGTGACTCTTTCCTTGTTTTGATTTTCAGATTTAGAAAGCTAAGTATGAGGAGAACAAATGGTCCAAGAATACAGTGAAATTATTCAACAACTTCGCTCACTGTGATTGCTGAAGAAACTAAAGCCCTGTATTGGAAGCACTTGGTTTCCAAACTGAATTAATAACTATTTAGTTTTCTTATAAAAACATACAACACAAAACAAAAAGCTGGGCTTATTGGTAATCTATACCATTTTCTTTTTATTTATTTATTTTTGAAACAATCTTTTCTCCTTTTACATATCTAGCTCAGTTCCCACTCCCTCCCCTTCTCCTACTCTCCCACCTTCTCCATACCCCACCCTTGATCCACTCCTCAGAGCAGGTAAGGATTCCCATGGGGAGTCAACAATGTCTGACATTTTCTGTGTAGGAATGTAAAAACTTATCATCTGCTGTAGAGAGAAATGTTTTCTGATTAGGATGATGATTCAGGGGCTGGAATGATGGATCAAGTGTGTAAAATATACACCCATAAAGGGGTCCTGACATGATCCCAGGTGCACAGCTATGGGGGGAATCTGCACTGAGGTTAGGTCTGTGGTGGGGGCATGGTTGGCTGATCCTCACATTAGATCAAGTGTATAAGGAGACCTACACAGATCCGGCATCTGTCTTCATGGTATAGTCAGAGTGTTACTGTTTTGTGGTAGATTTCCGGTAAAATTGAAAGCAAACATTTCCAGAAAAATAAATCATTGGTTTTGTCCTCAATATGATCTTTATCTGATGCACATATAAGGTGTCTGGGTCCCAATCTCACCACCTCATCCACGCAGATGACTGAGTCATGTAGACTGTGGATTGGTTTGGGATCACTACCAGGGCCCTTTCTAACGGAAACACCACAGTTATGCGTATGAGCATCACACAGAAAACGGTAGGTGGAGAATAGGGGAGTCAGAAGGAAAACATGGAAAGTAACTAATTGACAGTTTAGGAGACAAACGGAATTTAAAGGGAAAACATCAGAGACACACAGTGGACTTTGCTTTCATGTAGAAAGTCACTCTGAGGACAAATGGCCAAGTAGCCACGAAGGAACCTCCATTTCTTCCCCATTGTTCCACGGCAACGACGCTTCAAGTGCTTTAACGATGCCCTCTTTCATGACCAGTGCCCAGCGTTTTGTATTATTAAATGTAGCTAACTTCCAAACGACTGGACCGCACATAATGCTGCGTGCAGCCAATCAGCTGTCATTTGCAACCACCACTAGAATCCAACACACAGTCCAGATCCCCGGGACACAGGATCAGCACTTGCTACCCCTTAGATTGAATCTCAGGCACAAGAACGCACTTGGAAAAGAAAAATGTTTTCTCCCTCTCTCCCCTATGTTGCTACAGTTCTACCCGCAGCAAACGGAAGATGGGAGCTTGTGAAGTATGATCACGGCTGTTGCTTCCACAGTTAGCCACGCAGAAAACCTAAGCAATTGCGGATTCTTTTGCTTGATCTTCTTTTCTTCTTTCATCCATGAAGTTGATTTCAGTAGGTTTTGTGGCAAGAAGAATATAGCCGCCCGAAACAAATTATCCTGAGAACGGAAGCACATGGGAGCCGAGTAATTGTGTTTACTGAAAGGTGAATTGTGGCTGTCTCTGGAAGTGGTGATTTCCTCCTGTCTTCCTGCATGCTCCACATTCCCTTAAAAGGAAGATGGCCAAGTGTAATGGTTGCAGACACGAACATTATTAAATTTTTAAGATGCAGGAGCAAGGCAGGATTTGAACGCCAAGACATTTGAATTCACGTGAAAGTCACCATACACTTTGGAAACGGTAAATGAGCGAATCCTTCTAGAAACTGCATGGATTCCAAACCAAAGGCCTTCTGGCGCTAAAGAAGCACAAACTGCCTGAAGAAGTATTTTTTCTTCTGCTACACAATAAGCTCTCTTTATCAAAGAGTGCTAAAGATTTTTAACTGACTTCGCTCTCGGGGACGTAGATCATAACTGATATAAAAGGAAACTGTCCCAGAAATGGTTCCATAATATCTACTGCTAACTGCGATCAAAATAAAGAGGCCTGTTCTATTTTCCACAGCTCATATTTTTAAACCGTTACTGGTTTCTGAAAAAAAATGCACATGTTATCTAAACTTGTCTTGCTAGGTCATGCCTTCCTATAAAGAACCTGAGGGCTGGGCTATTTTAAGGTTTTATAAGTGGTCAGACTCCCTCTCAAATGTCCTGAGCCTAATCCCACCAAATTTCCTAAATGAAATTCCTGCCCTCTTCCTTCAGGGTTCTTTGTCTAAAATGTGTATGAGCATGAACGTGGCTTCATCTGGAAAGCTCAGGGCTTCGTCACACCGTGGACTTGCAGGGGGTGTGTTAATGTGGCAATGGCTTGTCATTGACTATTTCACTCATCCGCACAACAGCTTGAAGGGGTGAAAACTATTGTATCAATTTTAAAGATAAGAAAATAATGCTCAGAGCTTGGGAAGCCCAGTGTACTCTTTCATTCCTCACTTATCAAGTACCCACAATGTATTAAAGATAGTTCTAGAATATAAGATACAGCCTGTATCCCTAGGGTATTCAGGATTTCAAAGCCTACTTACTATAAAAATACCATGTTTTGCTCATCTGAAGTTCAGGTGTCACTGAGTATTTCATCTGTGCTCATTCTGGGTACCACCTTACACTGCCCACTAGGGTGACTCTGGCACTGGTCCATTCTCTAGTGGAGGAAAGCATGCTATGAAGACCAGCAGAGCTGCTCAGAGAGGGATGCCCAAGAACAATGTCCCATTGAGCATCATCTCTCACTACTACTGCACCCAGAGTGGGCACAGAAGACAGCCTGTCACAAATTTCAGGTCACTCTGAGGTTGCCTCACATCCTCTAAGAGAAGCTGGTATCTTGACCTAATGCCAAATTTTCCATGATGGTGGAGACTCTTGAGTCAAGCTGGTAGAAAGCCTTTTAAAAAGCTTTGAAAGAAGAGTGGGGGCTGCAGGATCAACGCTGGCTGGAACCACACCTGTACCTGCTTTAGAGGAGAGGGTCTCTTCCCATTGGTTGGATCATAGTCCAAGGCAAGCCTTGAGGCATACCACTGCCACGTTCTCATGCTCACTCCTAATGTAGGTATTTGAAATAAACCTGAGGCCATTCCAATGCTGTTTTCTTGAAATTTTCCCACAGATGTGTAAAGGGACAAATCAAATCTGAGATTAAGCATGTTGCAAAGTCTGCTATCTATGGGTTTCTACAAGGAGGAAGACACTATGCTACATTTTAATGAAACAAATGAACAAATAAACACAAAAGGCTTGACCCATACTCTGATGCCTAGGACAAAGACGACACTTGTGCAGGAATAACACAATACCCTCCTCAGCAGTGTAGTGAGAACAGTAGACCCTCGGTACTAATAGAACCAGGCAGTGCAGGCATTGTTTATGACCCAGAGAGGATATTGAGTCAGGTCCTTCTCTATGAGAAGGATGTAGCCAAAAAGAAAAATTGCAATGGTTTGTTTAAGGAATTAGCCAGTATTCAAGAAAAAAAAAATTAAACCTGATCCCAGAGGAAAGAAAGATCTAGTTCATGTGCAATGGCTCAGCCCATACTCTAAGTGATGGAATGTGATGAGATCAACATGGGAAACCCCCTTGTCCCATCCACAGTAGAGGCTGAGAAAAAGCGACACCAAGAATCTGTCTGGCTCAAACCCACAGACTCCTCACAACCATTAACACAGCACCCACCTGGCACTGAGACCCAGGCCGCCAGCTCTCCATTCACTGACAGGACAGTAGCATGTCACGCTATGTACAAATCGAAGGCATGTCTTAGGGCTTCTCGGGAGCCACAGGTGATCTGTGGGGTTTAGAGTTGAATCGGTGACCCCTTATGTCCTCCCCAAATGCTCTGACTTAGAATCTGAAAGCAGATGGTTCTTGAAGACATTCTATTTTTATCTGGAAGACCCAGAACACAATTTAAATTGAGCTGCACTCTGGTCTATGCAGGGATTTTTAAATCTTCTGATCTGCAAAATATGTGTCTTACCACATAGAAATATGTATAATATAAAAGATGCACAAGGTGCCTTCCTCAGGTTCCAGAAGAATCCATATTTACAAATAGTATGTTTCCGAATGTCGGAATTGCACACTTTCAGGGGAAATATCAGTCAGAATTATGAAAACAAATATACATTTGTGGGTTGGGCCCTAGTGCCCAGATACACACAGGTGCTGACCACACAGGAATCTGATTACCATCAGAGGAGACATTGTGGACACACACACACACACATGAAAAGGAAAGGAAAGGAGAGGAGGGGAGGGGAGGGGAGGGGAGGGGAGGAGAGGAGAGGAGAGGAGAGGAGAGGAGAGGAGAGGAAAGGAAAGGAAAGGAAAGGAAAGGAAAGGAAAGGAAAGGAAAGGAGGAAAGACAAGATAACAGTGGTTGTTTGGAAGCCCAAGTATATGGAGATGTATGGTCTCTTGAACTTTACTCAAAAACATACAGAAGTCAAAAACATGTTTGCTGGGATCAAAGTGGCTGGGTTTGAAATTGGGGTCCATCTTTCACAGGGTGTATGCTTCTGGACAACAAGTTTTTGTTTTTGTTAACTTTCTACCCCAGTCTCCTCATCTCTAACATAAGAATAAAACCCTGAAAGAATCCTCTGGGATTATGGTAGGAACAATTTCATGAAATCAGGTCTGCAGACTTGCTGCAGCAGGGCGGGGATGGTCCACGCTTGTAGTGAGGAGCTCGCTGTGCCCTTACTGAGGACGTACCAAATGGCATGTACTTAACCCTTCCTTCTCAGATGGAATTACATTATTCAGTACACACTGATTTCAGCCAAGAAAGCCGGGGGGGGGGGGTACTGTACAGATAAACGATGAAATCAGAAAATATCTCTGAAGACAAAAACACAGCATCTCTTACCTTGTTCCTACGATAAGTTCCTTCTGTCCTGGGTCAAATGTTAACCTGGAGAAATCCACAGCATTCTCTGCTCTGAACTCCCGTAACCAGGGGCCAATTTCTAAATGTGAAAGAAAGAAACAATGAAAAAGGTAAAAAAAAAAAAAATGAATAAATGATCTTCCTGCAGGATGACAGAGAGGGCAGATCAGGTAACAAGCATAGCAGCAAGGACTTGGAGGTCCCCTGGGACAATTAACAGGTGCCACTATAGGCTTTTTATCAGGATATCACATAATTCATATGTTAACCTGAAAAATACAGAAGGCAGCCACTCAACAAAGAGCAATCTAGACATCGGTGCTTAACAAGCCAGATGTGCATTTTCCTTTTGGCTGCAGGCTGAGTGTTCACACTTCACAAGACCCACCGGAGCAACAGGGGATGGTAAGGACCATTTCCTAAGACTCCAGGGCTGGACCCTGCACACTGGTCAACCCCACTAGACTCAGAAGCAAGGACAAAGCATGGACACCTCTGTCGCTTTCAAGTGAGTATTCCAGGTCAATTAGATTTCTATTTTGGCCCTGTAAATTAGACTTTTTAAACACATTTGATCCTTTATGAATGTTTAGGGATGAGAAATTTGTGATTACTCCTATGGCTCAATTACATTTTTTCTAAGGGAAATCAGGAGGCAGCCACTCTAAGGCTCACTCTTTCTTTCTCTCTCTCTTTCTCTCTCTCTCTCTTTCTTTCTTTCTTTCTTGTGCTTCTTGGTTCTTTTATTTTTTAATTTTTTACAAGCACTGTTAACTCTCATTCGACATTAGCTTACCAGAGTCAGACTGTGAGGAAATGACAGTGTAGGAAAAAGGACATAACACTGCTTCTGAACCGTGCCTCATTCCTGGCACTGCAGAAACATGCCGCGCATTGCTTGCCAGTTTCAGGATACCTTCCCCTCTTCTTTGGCAACCAACTATAGAGTTGGATGTTCTTTTTCTTGGATTTAGTGCTTGAGTAATATCATGCTGACTAAATGGGCATATGCTAACTGTCAAACCAATGCTGTTACTGGCTTAAAGAAAGGCAATAATCTCTTCGAACAGACGCTGAAGATAAAAACAGATCTAGTACGGAAAACTCTTGTCATATAACGCCTCGTGCGTGGATAGCAAAATGCCTTCATTATCTGTTCCTGGGGAATTGATATTGATTGGAATTTATTTTCCTCTTAAAGAAAAACAGGTCTAAGCTTATACACAGATTTGGTTTTGAAATTTTAATGTATATGCTACCATACGGAAGTGTGTTATTCTTGGCATTTCACAAACACTTTTTCATGTTTACCATAAATCAATTTAAACAACTTCTCATTATAACTACACATACAAGACATCAGTGTTGTAACATGTTATGAGTAAAGGATCCTTCTAAGAAATTGTAATGCCATTAGGACAATAGTGCTAATGTCTCTATAAATGTAAATACAATTTATAAGTGTCTACAGGGCCATAGGGATTATATAACTACAGAGAGGAGAGGTTGGCAGGGATAATGGAAGGGAAGAGACGTCTAGAGTCACATATCTTAGGGGAGCAGGCAAGGGAGTAACATACAGACCACAATGATCCTCTGTACCAACCTTATGGAAGCTACACTTTTTAATTTATTTTTCTGTTTATAATCACTTCCATTATTATTATTATTATTATTATTATTATTATTATTATTATTATTATTAAATTGAAGTTTTACATTCCAATCCTAGTTCCCACTTTCTCCCCTCCTCCCACTTCCTCCATCTTCCCCCATATCCCATATCCATTCCTCAGAGAGTATAAGACTTCCCATGGGGAGGGAGATAACACTTTTAAAAAAATTTTGGTTCTGTTTTAATCTTTTAATTTAATCTTATTTTATGTGCATTGGTGTATTGCCTGAATGTATGTCTGCATGAGGGTGTCCAGTCTCCTGGAACTGGAAACAGTTGTGAGCTGCCACATGAGTGCTGGGAATTGAACCCAGGTCCTCTGGAAGAAGAATCAGTACTATTAATCACTGAGCCATCTCTCCAGCACATCATTGGCCATCTTTATTCTAACATGAGGACGGTGGTTTCCCTCTGGCTCTATGTCATCTAGCCATCCATAGTCCAACACGAAGACCATGGTTTCCTTTCTCTGTATCTCATACAACCATCCTCACTATGAGAATACTTCCAGGTAATGGGCGATGAAAACCAAAGTTCTGGTGTCTACAGTCAGGGGCGGTGCCTTGAATGTGGTGGCCATTGATTCGGGTGTGGAGCTAAAGAGTAGACATGAGTGGGTCATTTCCAGAGGAGTTAAGTGGAAGGAAGAGGAAGAAGAAAGAATGGGGAAAGGAAAAAGTAGCAGCAGCTTAAGAAATGCTTGGTTGGACATCAAGAAGTTTGTTTCATGTCAACCACGGGGGATTCAGGTAAAGTCTGTGACATCTGGGCTTCTGAGCAGATGCAACAAGAAAGAATTTAAAGGTTTTCAAGAGAGCACTTAATTTATGGAATTAAAGATCCTGGGAACAAGAGTGGCCTTTGACAGGGAGGATGCTATGGAGAGTGTAGAGAACAAGATATTACAAACACTAACTATCATAGAATGTAGGTAATAGTAGACAACAGAAATGCAAAAGCTGCTGGGAGGTGAGACCAACAAGGGTGGGGATTAAAGAAAACAAAACATCTGCAGGTTAAATCAGGGAGTCAAGGGTCAGAGGGCATGGCTTGTTTTCCCGAAAGTGCAACCAAAAGAATGACTCCCACTCACGTGGACAGGCAGCAGACGGGCTGCAGAGCATTTCCACATGTCACTAAGACCAGAAGAGCTGATGCCATGCTTAGATTGAAACGATCACTATTTAGATGAGGGGCCCACAAACAAAGAGCCCTGATCTAGACTCCCAGGCTGGGCGGTGCTTCTCACTTCATTCACCTCAACTTATAGGCTCCAGAGGCGAGAACTCAGGTCCTCTCCCAAGCGTGAGAGGGAAAAACTAGCAGAGCCAAGGCTGACCTTGCTTGCTAGTGGAGAAATGCAAACCAAGTAAGAGCAGAAAAAGTATTACAAATATCAGAAAATAGCCAGGTAGCTTGTTCAGCACGCATTCATCCATTAAAGGTGGAATAGTGGAGACCTTGGAGCTGGTTGAAAAGAAGCCCTTCAGGATTAGGTTTCTGTTCTGAGGAACAGCAGCAACAAAAACAAGGGTGCTCCTGAGAACACCCCCAAGCGTGAAAGGAAGCTAAATAAGGAAAGGAAAATGAGGTAACAATATAGTCAGAGTTGTTCCATTAGGTTTAACTGAGATGCAAAGGTGTCCCCTCACTCTCCTCCCCCCCAAAAAACCCGTGTACTTTTACAGGGGGCAACCTTCATTCAAAAATCAACCAAACTGTACAGTTTCTTCATTTTGATTGTCTATTGCATCATGAATGTTACTTTGCCTTAACTTTGTGTATCATTTGCCCATTCTTCTTACTGAGGCCATCATTCTGAGAATTTCTACTCAGACCAAGCTCTCCAGCTGATTCCCTGCAGAAACAAGCCACAGCCACACAGTGTTCTCCGTCCTCTCCTGAAGACCAGGGCTCTGACTTTTGCAAAATCCCATCTCTTTAAATTCTTTCATCCCCTTTTGCCCTTTAAAGTCTCCAGTATAACCAAGTCGCTGCCCCTCACCAGATACAAGTCTACTAGGAAACGTTTCAGAGATTATTGGTTTGCACCACTTTGTTATTAAAAGCACATGAACTAATTTCATACTGAACTCCACCACATGGCATGCTGGAGGAATGACAAGACTAGGTTAATGTAATTCATAAGGAATATATAATGCAAATGTTTTATAAGTTATTTCAGACAAAAGGGAAAATTTCTCAACTCAGCTTGAGGTTGTAATTATCATGATAATCTAAGTAGTAAGGCGAGTCAGTAGCATCATAAGAAATAACTCTCGGGGATCAACTGAGAACACGGCTTTTATTGTGCTAAAGAAAAGTATATAGTATCAGCAAATCAAATACATGTGTGCACATACCAACCCCAAAGTCAGGTGCGTTGACATTTGAGTTCTTACAACAAAATAAGCTCACACATTATGTTTTGCGAATATTTTGCCAGAAGTATACAAATTGCTTCTAAAGATATGTGGTTTACACTTTTAAGAAAACTCTTTTATCAACATCAGTGATGGTTAATAAATTTGGTCAAAAGTAATTGGGAACCTTAAATTGTATGCTGGCTAGACAGATGCCAGTCAGTAACCCCTTCATTATACAGGAGAGGTAATTGGAAGAACTCTTATCTCAAGCAAAAACATTCTAGAGATAGTCCAGGTAATAATGCAGTAAGCTGAAATCTGAAAACATGGCCATAAGGGGATCCTGTTGCTAAGGAACAATACTGGACCCAGATGGGGCTGGCCACTGCCTGCAGCATCAACTCTCAGCAACTCAACTTGGCTTGATATGTTAAAGTGGATAAGGGTGGATAAGGACTGTCATGGCCTAGTTCCAATTCCATCCTGAGTTCTTTCATTCCAGCCTATTCTGGGACAGAGAAAACATTTCAAAACATCTATGGGGATTTGAGTTCACACCGAAATCAGAATCATAGTGTACACTTAGTTAGGACTGGAGATGGTAGAAAAATATTCCCCAAGCCATAGACAGAAAGCAATGTGCATCAGACAAAGAAGTTGAAGCACAAAGAAAAAACCTATTGTTTCTATGCCTCAAGAAGTTGCATGGCTAACTCTCTGCCACTGAAGCTATGCATAGAAAACAACACACCAGGACCACTGGCTCCCACGGAGCTAATACATAGTATAAGCAGGATGGTTGGTTCTAGGCTCTGTTGCAAGCAACTCACAAATCTGAATCTCCACAGTCCTCTTCATCATAGGTGAGAGGACGGAAGCATGGTGAGAGGAGTCATGCTTAGACCCAAAGCCAATGACATAGAAACTCACCTACTCACAGAACTGTACTAGGAAAACTTACTAGGCATAGAAATACAGCCGCACAGACCCAAGGTCACAAAACAAAGGGGAAACAAGCAACCTCTTCATTTCAAAAGC